TGCTTTAACATTGCATTTGATGACCAGTAATGTACAGGTAAGCATTATAGCTGTTCCTGTTAACAGTCAGATACTTGTCACAACCTTATTTACCCATCACCTATAACAGTATTGAGCAAGGCATGACTTCACCAGGTTGATAATTCCATTCAGAAATTTTACTGACATTTGCTGCAGACTGGGGGCAGGATATATAGATACATTGTTTGTACATCCATGCTTGAAACCAAGCAGCAGTAACTATTGATCTGATCCTCTAGGAATCTCTGCAGTAACCATGGTAACCGACTGTTACAGATCACTTTGAAAATGTAATTGGCATTAATGGAACAATCCTCAATAACAAGGTTTAACACAGTTAACAGGTTAAGGGACGACAATTTCCTGTTCAAAGTTGTCTCCCTTAGCTGTAGGAGGATCCTTTGGTTGAGGGACTGAATCTGCCCATATTAAGATACGTGAACTGCCAAGACCATATCTGTGGTAATGATTCCAGTGATGGAATCCTGCTCCAACATCAATCTGACCCTGTTGTAGAACTCACATACAGTTCAATCTGTTCTAATGCAAACTCACATACTGTACAATCTGTTCTAATGCAAACTCACATACTCATGTCATATTCATTTGTAAAATGCCAAAGAGAAGTCTTTAGTTCTTTAATAACCCCTAGATAGCCGGTTAATTTTTCTGATACTACTCTGGGAATGAATGTTAGAAGAATTCAGGTCAGCTTACTTTATGTTGATATCATCAAACAAAGTTGACTGATCAGTTCTGAGAAGAAACATGCAGAATCAGGCATCATTTTATAGTTGTAGGTTAGTTTGTACACATTAATGGGATAACCTCAGAAGTAAAATTGTGTTTTCAGTGGATTTTCATTCATATGGAGTAGAATACACAATGGTGGAACTGCCAAATTAAGGCCTCGGGAAGTCCCGGTGCAGTTCCACCATTGTGTATACTACTACTGAGGTGCATGCAAAATTTCACGTAAATTGGTGGAATAGTTTAGTAATTAAGAACTTTTAAGTGAGCATGGGATTGGTAGGGTGAAATGTTTGTTTTTAAAAAAAAAATGTTTTCTATGACAACGGGAGGGTTTAGAACTCAGTATCCTCTACACCAGCAGACTGGCTCTGCTAGCGTCAGTGTTAAAACTATAAATAGCTTATGCACCTTCTAAGCTGATAAACGTCGATTCTAAAATCATAGATTGTGGCTTCTAAAAGAAATTTCTGCATCCATCGATACATTTATCGTGTTCAGCAGTGTTTAGACTACCAACGAGCATCGTTTTTGTATTTTATTAGACATTTATTTGACATGAAAAGCCTTCTAACATTTTCAAAGCGAGAACGGGGAAGTGAACTGACTGATTTGTGTTATTATAGACAGAGCTCAGCTTAGACATGCAATTCAATAATAGATTGAGGTTTCTTAAAATGTTTTCAGCGTCCATTGACCTGTGTTTGTCGTGTTCATTGTGTTGAAAACTCCCTTAGAGTATCGTGTTTGTATTTTATTGGAGGTAAAAAGCCACCAAACTGTGAAGTGGAAGTAGAATTTGTGACAAGTCTGGTGCGCTCAGCTTATAAAATGGGTTCAAGACATCCTTTGCGTTCCTATAGACGGAGCCCAGCTTAGCAGGATGATGCAATCTCAGGATAGACCTGTTAAACTGAAATGTAGCTATCAAGTCCCTGGTAGCGCAATCGGTGGAGGTGTGGACTTAGGATGTGTAGTTGCGCAGCTATGCATTGTTAGTTCGTATCCCACCGTTGCCTCAGTGGGTTCCTTGCAACTTCTCCTCCGAGATTTTACTGTCCATGAGCGCGGTGGAAATATGATCTTCTATCGTGTTGAGCTTCGCTTCAGCTAGAACTCTAATTTCATCGTGTTTCAACGCTTTACATTGCAGTCTGCGAGACACGTACTTAAGCGCCAATCCGCCAACCCTGTCACTTCGGCCGCTATTTCGATGCCAAGCACCACGGGCGCGGCCACGATGGTGGTCAACAACCCGCCGTGCCTAATCCCATCCCTGTTGCCATCAGGGCGGTGTCGACACCGTCCACGTAATTGACGGCTCTGTGATATTTTTTATGCAATGCTCTCCGCGCGTCACGATCTTGTTCTAGTTGTCCTTTGATTTCGCATAACTGTTGTTGTTTTCACCACTTCATCCACGACCGGGTACAGTCCCATTCTGTATATATACTCTTTTTATAAAATAGTATTTAATTGGTCCTCAGTCAATGTTTGATGACTATACTTTAAGCTGATGAGGTACAAGTTTTCGTATATATTAATGGTCTGGAGTTCAATAAAATCCTTTTGAAATATTATAATATCTAGGTTTGCGGTGGGGGTTCTTCCTGGTTGTATACAAATACGTCAACGTTTTTGTTGATGGCGATCATGCCAACGTATTTTTAACCCATGCAGAAGGTTTATATCTACTGTGGGGGCATCTCCAAGAAGTACTTCGATAATAGGAGTAGAACCTTGTATCACACTGATCCACGAGTCTGGCACATAAGTATATTTTAGTATAAATAACGCTACTTTTTTCTCATTGGGGACTAACATGTTAACTGTTGATCTGGTAATGGCGCTACGCTCATCCAAGTTCTTCTTCCAGGATCAAACCTCCCCAGCAGTATCCCGTTATTTTTTAGCGAGACACCACCATCATTATTATCTGATAAGATAGGGGTAGGTCAGGACCAGGTTAATAATCCAGTTCAACTGAGATTCGAAGACGACTTCTCGTCGTTTGTACATGTTGTCTTGTAAGCGCATGGCGTACAAGGTGTTTTTCTCACCAGGCAGATCGAATCCCTCCGTGTCCCCGAGATCGGCTAGCATGATGGTGGGTCGATGGTTCATCTCGTTTATATATTATGTATACTACTGACAATAAGTATGGGAACACCCAAATATCAAAGTATAACAATGTAAATTTAAAGTGGCAGGGTCGGTTTATTACAAGGGTACATAAAACATTATTTGTTCTTACAATGTAATGGATTTATGGGCAGATATCATTTACTGCAATGCCAGTACAAGCAGCGGAAGAGGATAGGGGTCAAAACTGAAAGTCACAGTGTCAATGGTGGGTGTGTCGTCCACATTGATTGATGCATTCTGTACATCTGCGCCTCATGGACCTGACAAGGGTGCGGAGGATAGCTTGGGGAATCAACTGCCATTCCATCTGGAGCCACTGTACAAGAACCTGAAGAGTCGGTGCCATTCCATGCTTGTCTCTAACACGTCGTCCAAGAATGTCCCATAGATGTTCAATTGGAGCCAGATCCGGTGAATAAGCTGGCCACTGCATCACATTCACATTATTTTGTTGCAAGATGTCTCTAATGACTCGACCTTGATGTGGTCTGGCATTGTCATCTTGCAGCTGTGCTCCGGCACCAATGGTGTTCAAAGCTGGAAGAACCAGAGGACGCAGAATCTCATCCCGGTACCTCCATCCAGTCAAATTGCCCTGTACATGGTACAGAGGAGTACGGTGTTGTAAGCTGAAGCCTCCCCACACCATCACAGAGCCACCACCAAATCTGTTCCTCTCCCTCACAGTAGCATCATGGTAACATTCTCCACGCCGCCTCAAAACCCTAATCCTTCCATCGTTGTGCTCAAGACAGAATCGTGACTCATCAGTGAAGAGTACCCCGGACCACTGTTGCTGATTCCATCTCAGATGTGCTCTGGCCCAGGCAAGTCTTGTAGCTCTATGATGTGGGCGGAGATGAGGACGTACCGCTGGACGACGCAGCTCTGAGACGGTTTCTGATGGTTGAGATGCTGACGTTTGTGTTGGTCGCATGTTTGAGCTGCAGCCGTAGAGCACTGGCAGTTGTGAAGCGGTTCTTAAGGGCGTGGGGTACAACATATCGATCGTCTGCCCTTGTCGTTTTTCGTGGCCTTCCTGATCGAGCTCTGTCTTGTACTCGGCCGGTGGTTTGGAACCGTTCCCTCAGCCTATGAATGACGGAAGGGGATACCTGAAGATGACGACTAACGCTTTTTAAGGATTTACCATCCTCTAGCCATGCAATGGCCCTGCTTCTGTTGTGGTCGTTTAATGGTCTACGCTGAGGCATGTTTGGGTAATTGTGAGGCTTCAACACTGTCTGCAGCTTCTTTTTAAGGAAAAGTTGCCACAACATGCATGGGAAGTCTGTCTTTCATGTGCACTAGGTTGCGAGGTGATGACTGCTGAGACCTGCGTTTCATTCAGCTAAAAACACTTCTCGCCTCGATAATATATAACAAGTACGACAATACGTTGGATCAATGTTAGTCTTTCGCCAGACCGACCCCATGCTCACTAAAAAGTGATAATTTCCTAAACTATTTGACCGATTTTCGTGAAATTGTGCATGCATCTCGGCAGATGGTTATGCTATAGCAAAACGGCATTGGGAACACTCTCGATGACTTCATTAGATTAATTAAGAATTAATTACGACAAAAAGTTTTGCCTTTTCCTGACCGACCCCATGCTCACTTAAAAGTCAATATTTCAGAAACTATTCGACCGATTTTCATCAAATTGGGCTACGGGATTAGGGACTTCCCAAGGGCTCAATTTTTAAATTGAGCCCTTGGCGGGATCCTGGTCCCGTAGCCCCATTGTGTATACTACTTCAGTAGTAGTATACACAATGGGTGGAACTGCATCGGGGACTTCCCAAATTAAGGCCTGTGGGGAGGACCTGATGCAGTTCCACCATTGTGTATACTAGTTATGGTAATATAAAATAAAGGTGTAGAGAAATACAGCCAAAACCTTTTTGAGAGCTGACATTTAGCTGGTTCAAGAACATGTGTATCTATAGTTCCATTGGTCAAAGTTCCCTCATGATGAACCTGAGGCACCTTCTCTCAACAGGTTGTCCAATCTTGCAGCTGAGTGGAAGGTTTAGATTGTACTGACGTTGCCTGTATTGACTACTTCCTGTACTTTCCAGTATAAGTCCTCTGAGAAGATGGGAACTGGCAGCAGTGTTGGCAGCCCCCACCCAGCCTCCGGACGAGAGGATGCGAGAGGAAGGAGTGGGAGGTCCCCGCAAGCCACCAGCACAAGCCGACCTGTGGTGACCTCCCAAGACAGCCAGGCAGCCAAGGACGTCATGATCAGCTACAGCCATGCTGACAAGGAGATGATGGCCAAGGTCAAAGGTAGGACATTTTCAAGGTCAAAACCAGAAAAATGGGTCTTTCCAGCTGATATACCTTCTGGGTAGACATTGTATTACTTGACCACAGGAGAGGGTAGATACAGTTTGGAAGGTCAAGGTCGTTTTGACCCACGGACAGTGTCATATTTGGAAGTAACATATTGGTGTGACTTGTTCAGTTAATAAAAATGGTTCTTATTTTCTAGTACACTTGCAAGGTCTCTACCGGGCCAGTAAGTCCCAGTATTCAACTTTGTTCTCTATTAATTAAGAATTCATTGGTTGAGATGTTGCACTTTGAATATTAGTCAGTTTAGGTAATGGTTTCACATGGTTATCCAGATGTGCTGGAATCCAATGGAATCTCTGTGTGGGTAGACGTCGTTGGCCTCAATGCTGGTGTCGACTTCCTCAGCAAGATTGGACAAGCCATCATAGATGCCAAGGTAAACTAACCAGCAGTCTTGCTTTGGACACAATTTCATGATTTTTTTATTTTGCATAGTTTTCTGCCGAAAGTAAAGTTGTTGATGTATCTGGTGTGTTTTTTACACTTTCCTGGTTTTAGTGTCAGTGTAAGTAAACCAGTAAGTCAATATTCTGTTACTGTTTCAGCTGTTCATCCAGCTGCTCAGCCAGAACTGTGTCAAGTCGAAGTACTGTCAGGATGAGTTGGCGCTGGCCTACGTCTCCAACACAGCCATATTCCCCATCACACTGACCCGACCCAGGGAGCTGTACCCACACATGGACACCGGCATGTAGGTTGTCATGTACTTGTATTGTCATGTGTAATTTACAGGCTTGGACTAGCTCACTGTGTTGCATGGTTGTTATAGCCGTGAAGATACGGGTTACAATTGGTCTTCAACCCATGATTGTCGCAAAAGACGATTAACGGCACCGGGTGGCCAGGCTCGGTGACTTGGTTGACATGTCATTGTATATCAATTGAGTAGATCAATGCTCATGATGTTGATCACTGGACTGTCTGCTTCAGACCATCGCTGGAATATTGCTGACTATGGCGTTAAACAACAATGCATGGATGATAACTGTGTTGCAGTAAGGAAGTTAATGTTGCAGTAATGTTGTGTGTGTAGAAATGTTGGCAACCATGTTGCAATAATGTTAAGTATGTTGCAGTAATGGTGACTGTTGTATTGTTTGTTACTGTTGGACTGTTGTAGTTGTATACTGTGTTGCAGTAATGGGGACTGTGTTGCAGTAATGGCGACTTAGTTGCAATAATGGTGACTGTTGCAGTAATAATGACTGTTTCAGTAATGGTGACTGTGTTGCAGTAATGGTGACTGTTGCAGTAATGGTGACTGTGTTGCAGTAATGGTGACTGTGTTGCAATAATGGTGACTGTTGCAGTAATGGTGACTGTTTCAGTAATGGTGACTGTGTTGCAGTAATGGTGACTGTGTTGCAGTAATGGTGACTGTGTTGCAATAATGGTGACTGTGTTGCAGTAATGGTGACTATGTTGCAGTAATGGTGACTGTTGCAGTAATGGTGACTGTTGCAGTAATGGTGACTGTTTCAGTAATGGTGACTGTGTTGCAGTAATGGTGACTATGTTGCAGTAATGGTGACTGTGTTGCAATAATGGTGACTGTGTTGCAGTAATGGTGACTATGTTGCAATAATGGTGGCTTTGTTGCAGTAATGGTGACTGTGTTGCAGTTATGGTAACTGTTGTAGTAATGGTGACTGTGTTGCAGTAATGTTCACTGTTATAGTAATGGTGACTGTTGCAATAATGGTGACTGTGTTGCAATAATGGGGGCTGTGTTACAATAATTGTGACTGCTGCAATAACTGACTGTGTTGCAATAATGGTGACTGTTGCAATAATGGTGACTGTTACAATAATAGTGACTGTGTTACAATAGTGGTGACTGTGTTACAGTAATGATGGCCGTGTTGCAATAACTGTGACTGTGTTGCAATAATGGTGACTGTTACAATAATGGTGACTGTGTTACAGTAATGTTGACTGTGTTACAGTAGTGATGACTGTGTTACAGTCATGGTGACTGTTACAGTAATGATGACTGTGTTACAGTCATGGTGACTTGCAATAATGGTGACTGTTACAATAATAGTGACTGTGTTACAGTAGTGGTGACTGTGTTACAGTAATGATGGCCGTGTTGCAATAACTGTGACTGTGTTGCAATAATGGTGACTGTTACAATAATGGTGACTGTGTTGCAGTAATGTTGACTGTGTTATAGTAATGGTGACTGTGTTGCAATAATGGTGAATGGTGACTGTGTTACAGTAGTGGTGACTGTGTTACAGTAATGGTGACTGTTACAGAAATGGTGACTGTGTTAAAGTAATGGTGACTGTGTTACAGTAATGATGACTGTGTTACAGTCATGGTGACTGTGTTACAGTCATGGTGACTGTGTTACAGTAATGATGGTCGTGTTGCAATAACTGTGACTGTTGCAATAATGATGACTGTGTTACAGAAATGGTGACTGTGTTACAGTAATGGTGACTGTGTTACAGAAATGGTGACTGTTACAGTAATGGTGACTGTGTTACAATAATGGTGACTATGTTACAGTAATGGTGACTGTTACAGTAATGATGACTGTGTTACAGTAATGATGACTGTTACAGTCATGGTGACTGTGTTACAGTAATGGTGACTGTGTGACAGAAATGGTGACTGTGTTACAGTAAAGATGACTGTGTTACAGTAATGGTGACTGTGTTACAGTAATGATGACTGTGTTACAGTAATGATGACTGTGTTACAATAATGGTGACTGTGTTACAGTAATGGTGACTGTGTTACAGTAATGGTGACTGTTACAGTAATGGTGACTGTGTTAGTCATCGTGACTGTGTTACAGTAATGGTGACTGTGTTGCAATAATGGTGACTTTGATGCAATAATGGTGACTGCTGCAATAATGGTGACTGTGTTACAGTAATGATGACTGTGTTACAGTAATGGTGACTGTGTTACAGTAATGATGACTGTGTTACAGTAATGATGACTGTGTTACAGTAATGATGACTGTGTTACAGTAATGGTGACTGTGTTACAGTAATGATGACTGTGTTACAGTAATGGTGACTGTGTTACAGTAATGGTGACTGTATTACAGTAATGGTGACTGTTGCAATAATGGTGACTTTGTTGCAATAATGGTGACTGCTGTAATAATGGTTACTGTGTTACAGTAGCGGTGACTGAGTTGCAGTAATGGTGACTAATGCATTACAGGAAGCTCCAGTTGGCCGGCTATCAGTGGGTGGAGATCTGGGAGGAAGGCATGTTTGATGCCAAGATGGCGGAACTGATCCCGATGTTGAAGGAGGCGCTGGAGGAGAAGGACAAGGATACAGAGACGGAGAAGAAGGACGTCTCTAAAGGTATGGCAGTCTTAGAGAAAGATAATCAGTGAATAAACATTCCTTCACAAGCTAGATAAACATGTTTTCAAAATCTGAGAAATTTGATACATTAAAAAGAATGACCATACAAGTTATTAGAAAACAAAGAATGTTGCAGCTTTCAGTTCACTTAGTGCTTGATCAGTGAATTGAAAATCCTTTAGTCTTCAGATAAATAAGGTTACTTTGTTATATCACATGATATAGCTTTTACGCTAAAATGAGTTAACATGGTTACACTGGACGTTGGAAATTTGAAAATAGTATTAAAGTTACTACTGCGAACTGTTTGGAAGCTGTCAGAGCCTGAGAACACATGTATATTTCTAAGAGAACTCAATTCACTTATCGAATATTTCTTGAAGACGCCAGGAGGTTTATGTTCATGATATATTAGTCATCAGTTTAGAGTAGCAAGCTTCATAGCTTGAGTTGGATGTCTTTGCCAATGCATTTATTTTTGGTTTGTTCTGACCAATTTGTTCACAACACTGACCAAGGGTAAGCCTACACATCAACGGTATGTCCAGACCATCTATCTTTGGTTTGTTCTGACCAATAATTAGTTGACAACACTGACCAATGGTAAGACCACACCTTTGATCAACGGTATGTCCAGACCATCTATCTTTGGTTTCTTCTGACCAATAATTAGTTGACAACTCTGACCAAGGGTAAGACCACACCTTTGATCAACAGTATGTCCAGACCACCTAGCTTTGGTTTGTTCTGACCAATAATTAGTTGACAACTCTGACCAATGGTAAGACCACACCTTTAATCAACGGTATGTCCAGACCACCTAGCTTTGGTTTGTTCTGACCAATAATTAGTTGACAACTCTGACCAATGGTAAGACCACACCTTTGATCAACGGTATGTCCAGACCACCTAGCTTTGGTTTGTTCTGACCAATAATTAGTTGACAACTCTGACCAATGGTAAGACCACACCTTTGATCAACGGTATATCCAGACCACCTAGCTTTGGTTTGTTCTGACCAATAATTAGTTGACAACTCTGACCAATGGTAAGACCACACCTTTGATCAACGGTATGTCCAGACCATCTATCTTTGGTTTGTTCTGACCAATAATTAGTTGACAACTCTGACCAATGGTAAGACCAAACCTTTGATCAACGGTATGTCCAGACCACCTAGCTTTGGTTTGTTCTGACCAATAATTAGTTGACAACTCTGACCAATGGTAAGACCACACCTTTGATCAACGGTATGTCCAGACCACCTAGCTTTGGTTTGTTCTGACCAATAATTAGTTGACAACTCTGTCCAATGGTAAGAGCACACCTTTGATCAACGGTATGTCCAGACCACCTAGCTTTGGTTTGCTATCACCATTGACCAATGGGTAGTTTACAACGCTGACCAATAGGAAGCTCACACTTTTGACTATCTGTCTGTGGTGTGCTAATGCTATCTACCATTACTTTGCAAACATCATCGACCAATGATTTGCAAATAATTATTTTTTAATTTCAATGTTTTTATTGTCAGAAAGTCCCTCCTACAAGACTGAGGATAACCTCCAGGGAAAGGGTGACTCTCATTTGTACAGTATAAAAGCTTATTGACACACATTCTGACATTTTCTAAAAAAGTAAAACTCATTCACTCTCACATTCAAACTATTACTGTTGTAAGTTTAATATAAACAACTAGCTTTTACTGTGTGTCTGCTTTTCCCTTATACTTTGGCTAGACTAACTGAAAAGTGGTTGGTAGATTGCGTAAAATTGTGTCAAATATATTGAGGAACTGTACCCAGCAGACTGGCAGTCGTTGCATATATTAGGATGTCATTGGTCTTTGTTCCATACAGGGCAATACAAAGTCTAGACCTGGACAAAGTCCACCTTTTAGGGTTTCTGTAGACATCGACCACAATTCCCTCTCTCACTGTTACTAGTTGTCATGGAGATGATATTATTGGTTGCAGCTAATGTGCAGCACATTGTCAGACTCAACCCCTATGTCAAGCCATCTGTCGGTATGACCTTCACCTTGTGTGTGGTGTTCATGTTGATAGGCGATGTTTTGAGGTGATCTGAAAGGCTTGTGAAACCATCAGCACAGAGTTTTTGCACATGTTCCCATCTTTGGATTGCATGTGTGTAATGCACAATTGTAATATTGAACCAGTTCATTCCAGTGTGTGACTTTAATGTTTAGTCCAAAACTATTGTGTTGCAGTACTGGCGACAGTGTGGCAGTGTTGGTGATTGTGTTGCAGTAATGGTGACAGTTTGGCAGTGTTGGTGACTGTTGCAGTAATGGCGACAGTGTGGCAGTGTTGGTGACTGTTGCAGTAATGGCGACAGTGTGGCAGTGTTGGTGACTGTGTTGCAGTAATTGCGACAGTGTGGCAGTGTTGGTGACTGTTGCAGTAATGGCGACAGTGTGACAGTGTTGGTGATTGTGTTGCAGTAATGGTGACAGTGTCGGTGATTTTGTTGCAGTACTGGCGACAGTGTGGCAGTGTTGGTGATTGTGTTGCAGTAATGGCGACAGTGTGGCAGTGTTGGTGACTGTTGCAGTAATGGCGACAGTGTGGCAGTGTTGGTGACTGTTGCAGTAATGGCGACAGTGTGGCAGTGTTGGTGACTGTGTTGCAGTAATTGCGACAGTGTGGCAGTGTTGGTGACTGTTGCAGTAATGGCGACAGTGTGACAGTGTTGGTGATTGTGTTGCAGTAATGGTGACAGTGTCGGTGATTTTGTTGCAGTACTGGCGACAGTGTGGCAGTGTTGGTGATTGTGTTGCAGTACTGGCGACAGTGTGGCAGTGTTTGTGACTGTTTTAGTAATGGCGACTGTGTTTCTGCATGTGTGTGTTTTTGTTTGCATGCTGGATGATATATTGTTTGTCCGTCAGTTTTTGGGATGTAATGTGAAGGTAACTACGTGTAGTGCAGCATGATGCAGTGTTGTTACACAGATTGTGACATCAAGAATGATATTTCAGCTAAGGGATCAGTAAATATCAAATTTATTCACATCCTGGGAAGTTATACATGTTTTCAAGAGGCTGTATCTTCCCGGGTGTAGATGCTGGCGTGGAATAACACATCAGTATCCTATGCTTGCGGCAAGATGTAATGGGTCTGAGACTGGGTGACCTGTTTCAATGCATGCCATCGGATGAGCCATTACTGATAACATCAGTCTGGTTTGTCCATTATGGAGTTAATTATTTACATGCAGCTGTATTTAGAGCAGGGTTTTTGCTGACTATAGCCATATACAAACAAAGGAATCATGTTTCCATGGCAACTTCATGACTTGGCGGCAAGGGCTCCCATTTCAAGATGACCAGATATGATATAACTGAAATACTGTCCAAGCAGCGTTACACCCAGCTTACTCCCATTATAGGAAGGTCATTGGTCACTCTGGAGTTTGTCTGGAGTGTGTCTATACATTTGTGGTAGGTCTGGTTTATAACATACCATTGTTTTACACTACTATAGTGCACATGATGGGGTAGTCCCATAGTGTGTGTCGTAGGGATTTACAGGATGCGAATTCCTGCATCCTATACGCATAAAAATTGACAACGGATGCAACAAAATATATTAGCACGTCCACAGGGACACAGAAAAAGTCCAAACACTTTTTGTAAAAATTCCAATCAAGTGACAATAAGTTATCACTGAGTTTGTTTCTAGCTGGGTTATGGTAATATTTGCAATTTAATTACTGTAACAATGTGATGATCATGATACACAAAACAATATCAGTATTAATAATAATATTTAAGTGTCTGGGACCCCCATTTTGTTGTCCAGGACCCCTGAAAATTATGAGTATGTCAGCCTTAGTCCCAGGGACCATCAAATACAGGACTCCATGTAAATCCCTGGTGTGTGGGGTTCATTCACTCAGATCTCACCTCCTTTGGTGGATTGTTTGCTTATGTTGCCTTTGGTTTCAGAAAAGAAGACAAAACGTAAGACGTTGTGAGTTGATTGTTTCGTGGTTTAATGCTAACATTTAGCGTGACAATAACCTGTGTTGGGTGAGAGTGCACTGTTGATATCTTAGACGATATAAACCTCAACTGTAAGTCTGAAGCCCAAGTGTAGGAACATTCTAGAGAGCCAGATACAAGACTACAGCACAGGTTGCTGTACACATTGTCAGATGAGGAACAGTTGATTTAACCTGAGCTCAGTTGTTCGAACACCTGCTGGCTTCTCCCAGGAGCCAGGCTGGTTCATTGCTTTAAAATAGCAGCTCCACAGCTAAGTCGTATGTATATACTACAAGCAAAAAAGTATGGGAACACTCTAAAATTTGATAGTCATATATAAACTTAAACATCGTGAGGTCATTTATACTCTAAGGTAAATGCAACTTTTTGTGTGCTTAATAGGCACTTTAAACGACATGTTGGAACATGCAGTGAAGCAACTGATTCAGTATTCGTTGAGTTCGAGTGAAATGAAACATTGTCAAAACACACCAGTACCATGTTTGATTCAAACGCCCAAACACAACAGCCTATTGCATGTTCCCATACTTTTTGTTTGTAGTATATATTCAAGAAATATGTGTCTGAGCAGAAATCACCTTGGCCCTTCAGCGAATATGGTCTGTTGCGTCCATTACAAGTGCCATGCTAGTGTCGGAAATAACAGATTTTGTTGTCCAACCAGCTTTCTCATAAGAGTTGAAATTAGTATTTCTTATTCTTACTTATTATTTTCATATTAACATGTTTCCTGGAGTTTAAAACTCTTAACATGTTTAGTGTGTGTTATGTGCTCTTAATTCGTGGTAGAAATTAATATTAAATGTTTCTTGTTTTCTAGTGGATATACTAATGATGTTTTTCTCCCCTACATTGCCCCTGATGGTATGGATAGCGTTGGGAATACTGGAGATGAAAGAAAAATATTTAGTATTTGACCATGATCAGCATCAAATGAATTGTTGCCAAAATACCTGTTGGTGAGGTGGCTGTGTTGTTTTACAGTGTGCTTGCAGACATATTTTAGGGACCAGTCATTATCAGGATGGGGAGTAGGGTGGTTGGGTGTGTTTCTCATGTAATCAAACAATAAAGGAAGTGACCTTCCCTTGATGCAAGGAATATTTTTGGATGACCTCCCCTATGTCCTTGCACATTTCTTTATGACCCTCCCATTAAAGACAAATGCAAATGAATTCTAGATTCTGTTAGAGGATGTACATGTCTTCATGACCCTCCCAAATAGTAATATTTCCCCATATTTTCCGGTGACCTTCACTTGGTTTCCCGCTACAACACCTGTGTAATGAGAAATGACCGGTCCCTGAGATTTTGTGTTTATGAGGTTTATCCTCTAAACAACAGAAAGTCGCGAATTCAATATTTTGATGTGCATGCTTGTTAAACTTCTAGAACATTGTAACTTGTGTCATGTATCATTACATATGTGAGCACTACTGTCGTTGTGTTAAGTGTTTCCAGTAAACTGATCCGTCTGAAGCCAGACAATTCCAATTTCTACATTTCAGTAGTCTTTCTACTTAAGCTGTATTCCAGCAATTTCCATGTCTAAATTCTCAGTTGTTTTTAACCCTCTTCTTCCCTAAAGTGGGTTGCATTCCTTCAGTCTTTCCTGGGTTTGAATCCCACATTCTGTTAATGTTTCCTGGTTTGTCACCACCAACCTAGTTCACACACAAACTCACTTATCTTCATCTAACAAACACATGTGAAACAAGACTCAAGACGATGAAATTTCTCTGTCTTACAGAAGGTCGACCAAAGTTGCAGCGACAACAGACTCGCCAGAATCTTAACCGGAAGAAAGCAAAGAATGAGCGTGTCAAAAGCTCCGACGAGGTATTGAACTTGATGCCTGAGGAATACTGGAAGAAGTTCTACATGGGAGACTCCGTCGTCTGGAACAAGTAGGTTCACCTGGCAGCAGCATCACAAGTTGTCTGGGGGTGGTGGGGGTGGTGGGGCAGCCTAGCGGTTCAAGCTTCCGTTTGTCACACTGAAGGCCCAGGTTCGATTCCCCACATAGGTACAATGTGTAAAGCCCGCCGTGATATTGCTGGAATATTGCTTCAAGCGGTGTAAAACCCAACTCGGATTATGTGGATATGCCACAGCAACAATGCTGGGAATTTTTTTTATGGCCATTACTAATTCATTTCTTTTCAAATTGTAATGTTCAGTGTTTGTTTAGTTAGTTGTGAGTGGCATTCATCATGTAAGTTATGGTTTTGGTGACACTGAAAATTTAGAACTTTTTTACCAGGTTTTTACCATGCTCTTAATATGTTCTCAAAATGCACATTTGACTATATAAGCTGGCCAGACTGAAGGAAATAAGGTATCTTTCTCCTTCCCTCCTTCCCTCCTTCACTCCCTCACTCACTCACTCACCTGTATTCAGTAGCCAGACAGATGTTATTAGTACCATTATAAACCCTTCTTCATTGTTTCAGCGACTTAATAAAACTTACCATATTTCAGTGTATGAAATAAGGCCCATCCGACCGCCTGAGAGTCAGACGGGCTAGATTTCTGACGGACGGTCTAAATTTACAGATGTTCCATACATCTGAGTAAATTCACAATATCTCGGTATCTCGTCTGGTTAAATCCATTTCGTAATGTTACCATTTTGAAGGTACCAGCCCTGATGTCTGGCAGGTGTTTTGGCTTATTTCATACACTGCATATTTTCCATATCAGCTCCTGCTCCAGTTAGCATCACCTGATCAACTGCTTTATCAGGCTAGTATTGATCACTGGATTGTCCGGTCAAGGTTTGTTTATCAACAGGCTATCATCATATAGAGAGTTCAATGTTGTTGGTTGTTGTTTAACGCCGCACTCAGCAATATTCCAGCTATATGGCAGCGGTTTGTAAATAATCGAGTCTGAACGAGACAATCCAGTGATCAAAAGCACAAGAATGGATCTACGCAATTGGGATAAGATGACATCTGTCAACCAAGCGAGCCTGACCACCCGATCCTGTTAGTTGCCTATTATGACAAGCATGGGTTACTGAAGACCAATTCTAGTTCAATGTTCAAAACAAGAAACTATAACTATTGAATGTTTACATATTCTGCCAGATTTGTGGATAACTTCATGTCGCTGTACAAGCACCCCCCTGGAACAGACATTCAGCTCCAACGACCAGACGTGGTTGGTCAGCATCCTGAGGCGGGAGATGGAGGTTGATGACGACGGCATGCTCAGCAAAACCTCCTTCATAGGTAGGGAAGTCGTATTGTAGATGTCGACCTATACAGGACATAGGACTGAGCCAGCTTCCAAGTAACAATATAGAACAAACTTTATGGATAACAACTTCTTTTTATTCGTGAGTGCGACGTTTCGATGCAGATTCTTTTACCGTTGTCAAGCATAATGGAACATGAAGAAGGGGGAAGTATATATGTACTGGATGTAACAATGTAACAAAGAAAACAACATAATTAACATAATTGGCTAGGCAGAAAGCTGATGAAGCCAGAGAGTAGACAAAGGACAGGCTTGGAAGCCAATGATGTACAAATAATAATGAGATGTTTATACAGCAGAGTTTATGCTTGACAACAGTACAAGAATCTTTATCGAAACGTCGCACTCACGAATAAAAAGAAGTTGTTATCCATAAAGTTTGTTCTATATTGTACTTCCCAACTTCTAAAATGCCACTCAAAGAAGTCTTCCAAGTAACACCAAGTATTATTATAGTATAAATGCTTCACGTCATTAGTGACAGAATTGTGAACAACATATCTGGTCTGTTTGAATTACTATGACATTTGATTCTATAAGCCTTCAATCAGGTTTTGAAATGGTAGTTTCATGTATGTTTCATGTATACCTGCATGAAGCTTACATTTTCCTATTTTATTGATCAAATGTTACTAATTGTGAAAACGTAAATATTTTTTATTAGTTTTAGGAAACTCCTATCATTCATTCTGTCATGTGAGACTATTGATGTGTGAATGTAGCCAAAACAGAAGTCATGTTTGCGTGAAGTGTCATGAATTTTGTAATGTCAGTGAAATAGGGATCTCACGAGTACTCGAGTATTCGGGGCCGAGTCGGGTAAAGCAGGACTCGAGTCCAATTCAATGGTCTCGAGGACTCGCAGGGGAGATAACTCTAAACGTCTCACAACGATGGATGATCGTGAGAAAAAATGCAATGACTGGACGCATTTTGATCTTGATTTAGTGGCAAAAAAACCTCATATTCATATTTTAATTTCAAGAAGTTGTGTTATTGACTTGTTGTTTCAAGATAAAGTTATGTCACTTTTAACGACAATTTCTAAAAGCAAAAATGAAAGAAATCGTGTTTCAATAATAAGCTATGTTCTTTGAAACTTCGCCTTGTGTTCTTGCCTTCTTGCATTAATTTTATTATACAAATAATTTGATACAATTAGTCTTCACTCTTGTTGTTCAACTTGTTTTCTACAAAGATATTCAGCCGTTCTTATCCAGCGTATTTCAGTGTTACATATTCAACAATCAACACATACATACGCATTCAAAAATAACATTCACACTTGGAGACCTAAATCCTGAAATAGTTGAAGTTTTAATCACAATAAATACCATTTCAGCCGAGTTTCAGAAGGAGAAGTTCAGTGTAGTGTTACTCAATAAATGCTTTAGTTTGAAACCAAAACGTTTTCATCATAAGGAGACACAAATAAACATCAGTCGTGTTTTACATATTTTATTCTTTAAGTTCCATAGTCGATCGATGTTTACAAGACATCCAGTGCAGCACCAATCAATGAATGCTTGTCTAATGTCTTCCTGCTTGTGCTCGCTTTTTGCCGCAATTTAACCATTATCATTATTATTGGATATTTATATAGCACACATATCCAAGCACTCGTGCATACTTTAGCAGGGATGGAAATAACCCATTGCCCGATGTCCGAGTCCAGTGTTTTTTTTCTGTCGTGCAAGCAAATTTGTACATCACACTGTACCGGTGTCCAGTTGACTTTCCAATGTTAATAATGTTGTTTATTTAAAAAATCAACAAGAAAATGGCCAATATAGTGGAAAAAATATCAGGGCAAGTGATTTTCGAGTTATTCCCATCCCTACGAGGTAACCATAATTAAGGTTAACTGATTATGTGACTTGTCGTCTAGGTTAATGTTTAAAAAGTTGCTAATATGTCATAACTGCAATGACATATTAATCTTAGATAATCTTGAAAGCGTAGTCAAACTTAAAACCAAAGAAAAGAGAAGTACATTGATTGGTTTCTTTTCCCGGACACATCCAATCATATTACAGCATTTACAGGCGTAATAAGATATCACAGGCCCAGCTCATGAATATTAATCGCATTATTGATCGCGTAGAACTGTGACACAGTGACACTTACGCTGCCTTCACATTCTGTTTGCAATAATAAAAAGTTAATATATACTTCTATTGACATTGAATATCAATTGCTCTATTCAAGAACGTTTAGATTCACATATACATGTTGGTTTTAGATAAACATCAAAATTGTCGGTTACTCGGGTCTGAGTCGGGTCTGACGCCTCGAGTACTCGAGTCCCAAATTTTGAACTTGTGAGAGCTCTACAGTGAAACGTCTTGGACTTCAGATGACATCACACTTACACCGTGGAGTCATGTCGGAGTCCAAGGTTATAATGAGGTTCAGACAGTAGTCCAGAGTAATCAGAAATCTGTACTTTCATGAAGCTTCACACTGAGGACTTGTGGTATGAACCTTCAAGATCGAACTCACATGCACATATTTACAATGAGGACATGTGGTATGAACCTTCAAGATCGAACTCACATGCACATATTTACAATGAGGACGTGGTATGAACCTTCAAGATCAATCTCACATGCACATATTTACAATGAGGACATGTGGTATGAACCTTCAAGATCAATCTCACATGCACATATTTACAATGAGAACATGTGGTATGAACCTTCAAGATCAAACTCACATGCACATATTTACAATGAGGATGTGGTATGAACCTTCAAGATCAAACTCACATGCACATATTTACAATGAGGACATGTGGTATGAACCTTCAAGATCAAACTCACATGCACATATTTACAATGAGAACATGTGGTATGAACCTTCAAGATCAAACTCACATGCACATATTTACAATTTATTTCATGAAACATACATAATTTGCTTTAGTGAATGTTAAACTGGTCTTCTGTCCTTTAATGTCTAATTGGAATTCAGAATTTTTTTTTCCTGATTGGGAGATTTAGCTTGATGAATGGTTATTGTAGCATCTTTAGACTGTAACTTTGGTGTTGACAGAATGTTCCCCTGTATATGTCGACAGAGTTCTGCACTGTGGATGGGGAGGAGTTTCCCCTGTGGAAGCGGGTGGAGGAACAGGCGAGGGAGAGCTACGCCATGAAGGAAGTGTTTGACATGGACTCCTCTGTCAGAGTGGAAGCCATTGAGAATCTGGGTGAGTCAATTGTTAGAGGGGATGTCGTAGGGAATACAGGTCAAACCTTCCTAGAGTGGAAGTGATAGGGAATCTGGAAAGGTCCTTGGTTAGAGATGAAGTCACTGGGAATCGTGGTAAGTCCTGAGCAAGCGAGGCCATATATTGATTCTCTGTAAGTCCTTGGTTAGAGATGAAGTCACTGGGAATCGTGACAAGTCCTGAGCAAGCCAGGCCATATATTGAATCTCTGTAAGTCATTATTTGGAGATGAAACCGCTGGGAATCGTGGTAAGTCCTGAGCAAGCCAGGCCATATATTGATTCTCTGTAAGTCCTTGGTTAGAGATGAAGTCACTGGGAATCGTGGCAAGTCCTGAGCAAGCCAGGCCATATATTGATTCTCTGTAAGTCCTTGGTTAGAGATGAAGCCGCTGGGAATCGTGGCAAGTCCTGAGCAAGCCAGGCCATATATTGATTCTCTGTAAGTCCTTGGTTAGAGATGAAGCCACTGGGAATCGTGGCAAGTCCTGAGCAAGCCAGGCCATATATTGATTCTCTGTAAGTCCTTGGTTAGAGATGAAGTCACTGGGAATCGTGGCAAGTCCTGAGCAAGCCAGGCCATATATTGATTCTCTGTAAGTCCTTGGTTAGAGATGAAGTCACTGGGAATCGTGGCAAGTCCTGAGCAAGCCAGGCCATATATTGATTCTATGTAAGTCCTTGGTTAGAGATGAAGTCACTGGGAATCGTGGCAAGTCCTGAGCAAGCCAGGCCATATATTGATTCTCTGTAAGTCCTTGGTTAGAGATGAAGTCACTGGGAATCGTGGCAAGTCCTGAGCAAGCCAGGCCATATATTGATTCTCTGTAAGTCCTTGGTTAGAGATGAAGTCACTGGGAATCGTGGCAAGTCCTGAGCAAGCCAGGCCATATATTGATTCTCTGTAAGTCCTTGGTTAGAGATGAAGTCACTGGGAATCGTGGCAAGTCCTGAGCAAGCCAGGCCATATATTGATTCTCTGTAAGTCCTTGGTTAGAGATGAAGTCACTGGGAATCGTGGCAAGTCCTGAGCAAGCCAGGCCATATATTGATTCTCTGTAAGTCCTTGGTTAGAGATGAAGTCACTGGGAATCGTGGCAAGTCCTGAGCAAGCCAGGCCATATATTGATTCTCTGTAAGTCCTTGGTTAGAGATGAAGTCACTGGGAATCGTGGCAAGTCCTGAGCAAGCCAGGCCATATATTGATTCTCTGTAAGTCCTTGGTTAGAGATGAAGTCACTGGGAATCGTGGCAAGTCCTGAGCAAGCCAGGCCATATATTGATTCTCTGTAAGTCCTTGGTTAGAGATGAAGTCACTGGGAATCGTGGCAAGTCCTGAGCAAGCCAGGCCATATATTGATTCTCTGTAAGTCCTTGGTTAGAGATGAAGTCACTGGGAATCGTGGCAAGTCCTGAGCAAGCCAGGCCATATATTGATTCTCTGTAAGTCCTTGGTTAGAGATGAAGCCAAGGAATCGTGGCAAGTCCTGAGCAAGGCCATATATTGATTCTCTGTAAGTCCTTGGTTAGAGATGAAGCCACTGGGAATCGGGGCAAGTCCTGAGCAAGCGAGGCCATATATTGATTCTCTGTAAGTCCTTGGTTAGAGATGAAGTCACTGGGAATCGTGGCAAGTCCTGAGCAAGCCAGGCCATATATTGATTCTCTGTAAGTCCTTGGTTAGAGATGAAGCCACTGGGAATCGTGGCAAGTCCTGAGCAAGCCAGGCCATATATTGATTCTCTGTAAGTCCTTGGTTAGAGATGAAGTCACTGGGAATCGTGGCAAGTCCTGAGCAAGCCAGGCCATATATTGATTCTCTGTAAGTCCTTGGTTAGAGATGAAGTCACTGGGAATCGTGGCAAGTCCTGAGCAAGCCAGGCCATATATTGATTCTCTGTAAGTCCTTGGTTAGAGATGAAACCACTGGGAATCGTAGCAAGTCCTGAGCAAGCCAGGCCATATATTGATTCTCTGTAAGTCCTTGGTTAGAGATGAAACCACTGGGAATCGTAGCAAGTCCTGAGCAAGCCAGGCCATATATTGATTCTCTGTAAGTCCTTGGTTAGAGATGAAACCACTGGGAATCGTAGAGCAAGTCCTGAGCAAGCCAGGCCATATATTGATTCTCTGTAAGTCCTTGGTTAGAGATGAAACCACTGGGAATCGTAGCAAGTCCTGAGCAAGCCAGGCCATATATTGATTCTCTGTAAGTCCTTGGTTAGAGATGAAACCACTGGGAATCGTAGCAAGTCCTGAGCAAGCCAGGCCATATATTGATTCTCTGTAAGTCCTTGGTTAGAGATGAAGTCACTGGGAATCGTAGCAAGTCCTGAGCAAGCCAGGCCATATATTGATTCTCTGTAAGTCCTTGGTTGGAGATGAATCCACTAGGAATCTAGCTTAGTTCGTGGTGAGTGTGGAAGCCATCGAGAATCTGGCTAAGTCTTTGGTCAGAGTGGAAGCTTCAGTGAATCTCATAAGTTTGTTCAGACTGTAAATCAGAGTGAGTGAGTGAGTGAGTGTGGTTTTATGCCGCTTTTAGCAATATTCCAGCAATATCACCGCGGGGGACACCAGAAATCGGCATCACATATTGCACCCATGAGGGCTGTAACTCAGAGGAATATGGGATGTATATGAGAATCTAGATCATGGACATATTAAGCCATTTGAAGTGGGTGAACTGCTTGTGGTTGTTGCTCAAACTGAAGCTCTACTGCTGCAGTTGTTGATTTTCATAATACATTGTGTATACTTGAGTAGTTAGGACTTGAATCTATGTATTCATCTTAATTGTGTCACTTATCTTATGAAGGTGATTACCACTATCGTTTCTGGTTAATAAATGAAGACTCAAAGCATTTTCAGACTTCTTGTGATCGGAAACAAGTTACTAGTTCTAACTGTCACATGCCATAGTTGTGTCTAAAGTCATGGTCTATTTGAAGGTCATTCACTTCTAAAATGACCTGTCAAAAAGTAATCAATCAAGGTCATGGTTTCCAGAAACTGCATTGTCAAAGACAGATAGGTCAAAGGGCAAGGTCCTTCACACATTGAAATACTTGTGAACAGTGTAATTTTTATTTGGGCAGTATGTACAGTAAGTTTTACAATGGTAAGAGAACATATGCTTTCAATTTTCAAGTCTCTGTCCAGCTTATACTGGATTTTGAAGGTCAACTGGTCACAAGTTTGAGTGCTCGTAAGTTTGTTTTGAATGTTGGTGGGAATGATTGTTTTGGTACATAAATTGGTTTGTCTTCAAACCATTCTTGAATCGGAGAAGACAAATAATACTGCCATGACATATTCAGGGATGAGAATTTTCCGCGGATTTGATTGGGCTGGGGTTATTGTTGTGAATTGTCTAAACCTGCGGCCCCCAAGACCTCCGGCTCATTTTCCTTTTTTTTCACTCATGCCCATTCTCATCCCTGCATGTTTCCAGGCCGATTCCGAAGTCTCGCCGTCATCGATGCTCTGAGAGATTTGTTGACGGACACTGACGCCAATGTGCGAGCTGTTGCTGCCGTGTCGCTGGCCCGGACAGAGGCCAATGACAGTCAAACCGTGAAGCACTTGCTGAAGATCCTCAATGACAAAGACCGGCTGGTGAGGGAAGCAGGGTGCCTTGCTCTCGGACACCTACAGGCGCAGTCCGCCGTCAAGAAATTGCTGCACATGTGGTGAGTTGGTAGATAACAACAAAGACAACATGGATTGTGGGAGAATAGTTCAAAAGTGGAGAAAGCTCACTTATGATTTGTTACAATAATAACACATCAGCAATGGAAAGCAGCGCGTGCTAACCACAAGTTTGCTTTGTGCAGAATAGTCCCCCCATATTATGCAGGGGTGTTCAGGAATGATTATTAGCCGGGATTACAGGAGAGGTGTGAGATAATGGCAAGAGAATTACTTATTTTAGGAGATAAACATGATGTGTTTTCAGATTATGTTATTGTGTATTTGATAGGGGCGGTGGGGTAGCCTAGTGGTTAAAGCGTTGGCTCGTCACGCTGAATACCCGGGTTCAATTCCCCACATGGGTACAATGTGTGAAGCTCATTTCTGGTGTCTTCCCCCCCCCCCGTGATGTTGCTGGAATATTGCTAAAAGCGGCGTAAAACCAGTCAGTCAGTCAGTGTATTTGATAACCAATGTCTGTCATTTCCAGTGTTACTTTTTCCGCACATACATTACAAGAGTCATTTTCAACATCACTCTCTTCTTGTATGTTCTCAGAATTGTGAGATAAACATGGCTTCATTAGTGTAATGTTTAAAACTGCTGTCCTCACCTCCAGGAGGAACGACGTCATATCCCACGTGAGAGAAGCGGCATCCGTGACGCTGCAGCAGATTGGCGGGAGCGAGGTGGACAAGGCAATGCATGTAACCTCCGTCCTGGCCGAAGAGATCCGACAGTTGACAGCAGAATAGTCATGACTTTTTGGACTAGTTCCAGTTCGTAACCATAGCAACCATGTCAGTGCAACCCAACACAACCTTATTTTTTGGTACACCATGTTTATGTTTAAAATTGAATGTGATGATTGAAATATATTTTTACCTGTAGTCATGAATCTGTGATAATTCAAGTTTGAATTAGAAGAGAAATGTATGAAGAATACCTTTGCATGCCCTTTGTACCAGGGTACTTCTTTATCTACCACCATGGGTGCCTGGGTGCCTCCTTATTTACTTTATTTAGAGTTGACCACCCCAGTACAGGGTACCCAAATCTACCGAGAGTTTGCCTACTTTAGATGGCCTGTTCTGAAACTTGCATCAGCCATCATGTAATAGGCAGTGAGTATTGTGAATGTCATTCCGAGCAGCTGGACCACACAGCTGATTTAGTGCCAAGTAGTTCCTGGTAGTGTTTCCCTGAGACTGGCCGATGAAAGATGAAAGATTCCAAGACATTCTCTTCCCTAAGTTGAGTTCCTCTGTGTGATGTTACACACTGTTTCTCAGGTATCTCGAAGTCAGCCAGATGTTTTTGATCTTTTGGTTAACATTGTTTTTTTTGTGAGTTGTCTTTATCAGTAGATAGAAATATATTTGAACATGACAGAATTTGAATGTTCTTCAAAATGTTATAGGACTCTGTGGTAGTGTTGGCAGTGTAGGTCATCTTGTGTCATCGTCAAACCTTGTGTAATATATTGTCCTGCAAGTCAAATGTTTATTTATTAAAAAAGGGGAAAAAACGATTTTCAGAAGAGGAACACTTTTTATGGATAGACAACTTCTTTACTGCAGTGGATGTGATGTTTCGGTGTAGATCCTAGCACCGTTATCAAGCAAATGATGCCAATAACGTCGCATCCGCTGCAATAAAGAAGTTGTCTCTCCATAACAAGTGTTCCTCTTCACCATGCCAGCTTCTATATGCCACTTTAGGAAGTGATTTTCAGAAGCTCTTTCTTATGTTGGATGCGATGTGTGTCAATGGTACACATGTTTTTGTCATCATTTTATGACCGGTGAAAATTTGTAAACTGTTTGGAAAAACAGGTAACTTTTCGGAGAAACATCAGTTGTGTGTTCCATGGTGGATACATGAGAAGATGAATTAAGATGGACAAGATTTTATAACTCTTCCAGTGATTGACAGATCTGTACCATCTCAATAACTATTCTGGCAATGAGAGACGCTTGTGATGTCTTGCTGTGTGATATGAACAAAAATAGATGAGGACCTGACAGATGCACCTGTGGACGACATCAGCAGGGGTAGAAGATCACCTACCTCCTTTGATGGAAAATAATCACGTGACCCTGGTTGCCTTATAAGGAGTTGAGCATTCTGTTACATTGGAAGATAATTTCTGTGAAACACATCTGTGACTAACATCAAAGCTCACAGAAATGGATTGTTTCTCCTTTGTGGGAAGCCAACAGTCCCATGATAAAGTGGTCAACAAATTTGTCCTGAATTTGCTTAGTAGTATGTTGTTGTGAGACAATCATTCTCCAGTAGACAGTCACGATGTACGTGAATTATGAAGGCCCACTACAAGTTCTGTTGGTAGACCTTCTGGACATGTGCTGATCGTGGCACTTGACGGACTCTCTACTACGGAAGTTGTCCTTATTGTAGATGAAGACTGAGCTTGTACTTTGTCTGTATATCAGCCTGTCTGTGTGTCTGCCTGCTTGTGTGTGTGTTTAATCTCTTTCTGAAGACTGAACTTGTACTTCGTCTGTATATTAACCTGTGTGTCTGCCTGCTTGTGTGCGTGTTTAATCTCTTTCTGAAGACTGAGCTTGTACTTTGTCTGTATATCAGCCTGTGTGTCTGCCTGTTTGTGTGTGTGTTTAATCTCTTTCATTCTAGTATATTTGTACATATTCAATATTGTGTATCTGTTCATGTACAGTACATTGTGTATATTTAACCATTACATGTACAATGTGTATACAGCCAGTATACCCATGTATAGTGTGTATACAGCCAGTATACCCATGTATAGTGTGTATACATCTAGTATATCCATGTATAGTGTGTATACATCTAGTATATCCATGTATAGTGTGTATACAGCCAGTATACCCATGTATAGTGTGTATACAGCGAGTATACCCATGTATAGTGTGTATACATCTAGTATATCCATGTATAGTGTGTATACAGCCAGTATACCCATGTATAGTGTGTATACAGCCAGTATACCCATGTATAGTGTGTATACATCTAGTATATCCATGTATAGTGTGTATACAGCCAGTATACCCATGTATAGTGTGTATACAGCCAGTATACCCATGTATAGTGTGTATACAGCCAGTATACCCATGTATAGTGTGTATACAGCCAGTATACCCATGTATAGTGTGTATACAGCCAGTATACCCATGTATAGTGTGTATACAGCCAGTATACCCATGTATAGTGTGTATACAGCCAGTATACCCATGTATAGTGTGTATACAGCCAGTATACCCATGTAGTGTGTATACAGCCAGTATACCCATGTATAGTGTGTATACAGCCAGTATACCCATGTAGTGTATACAGCCAGTATACCCATGTATAGTGTGTATACAGCCAGTATACCCATGTATAGTGTGTATACAGCCAGTATACCCATGTATAGTGTGTATACAGCCAGTATACCCATGTATAGTGTGTATACAGCCAGTATACCCATGTATAGTGTGTATACATCTAGTATATCCATGTATAGTGTGTATACAGCCAGTATACCCATGTATAGTGTGTATACAGCCAGTATACCCATGTATAGTGTGTATACAGCCAGTATACCCATGTACACACATGTGCTACAGTATAATGTAAAGCCTTAACAGAGTTCTTGGAATCTGATAATGTGATTGGAACGTCTATACTACTAACTGAAACTTATTCCACAAACAGACCAGTAAATGAAGTCTTCCGTGGTTATGTCGGATGAAACACATACCCCAGCTTATAAGATGCACAAATTCTGTAACCAATTGGCATGCTCTAATGGGAGATCAGATAAAAATAATTGTTACACGCTTAGAATTCTGTTTTTCTGGTCTCAGTACTGATGAAGGCTTCCCTCCTGTACCCTATCCTAATGTACACCTAGTGTACACCTAGTGTACACCTCTCTGGTCTGATGAAGGCTTCCCTCCTGTACCCTATCCCAGTGTACACCTAGTGTACACCTCTCTGGTCTGTAACTTTGTGGAAACCCAGAGTTCCATTCTACAGAACACCTTTCATAAGTGTATGTTAAGATGTACACCTGTGTTGGTATTAGTGCTAAGATAGCTCTCTCAGATGGTGCCCTTGACACCGTGAGTGTATGTTAAAATGTACACCTATGTTGGTATTAGCGCTAAGATAGCTCTCTCAGATGGTGCCCTTGACACAGTGAGTGTATGTTAAGATGTACACCTGTGTTGGTATTAGCGCTAAGATAGCTCTCTCAGATGGTGCCCTTGACACAGTGAGTGTATGTTAAGATGTACACCTGTGTTGGTATTAGCGCTAAGATAGCTCTCTCAGATGGTGCCCTTGACACAGTGAGTGTATGTTAAGATGTACACCTGTGTTGGTATAAGCGCTAAGATAGCTCTCTCAGATGGTGCCCTTGACACAGTGAGTGTATGTTAAGATGTACAGCTGTGTTGGTATTAGTGCTAAGATAGCTCTCTCAGATGGTGCCCTTGACACAGTGAGTGAGTTTTAGGTTTACGCTGCTTTTAGCAATATTCCATCAAAACCGTGGTGGGGGACACCAGAAATGGGCTTCACACATTGTACCAATGTGAGGAATCAAACTCGGGTTTCTGGCAAGACGAACGAACGTTTTAACCACTCGGCTAACCCGCCCTTTAAACATCATATTGATTATCTGTGCACTGTGATATGTTAATGTTGTATATCAGTGGTACAATTATTTGAACAAGGGATCCAGTCAGTGCGTGAGAACTTGCTTAGTCCACTAATGTTGGATTGTTCTATAGCCAATATTGTATGTGTAATGGATTTACAACATAGGGTAGACAGGAGTGCTGGGTACAAGGTGTTTTAGCTGTGCAAGTCGTACTGATGATGTCACCTGGCCAATGACAAAACCAGTGTGTGAGCCGTATCAGCAATCTTGCAGCTATTTTATGTGTGTGGTGTGTGAGCCATATCAGCAATCTTGCAGGTATTCTATGTGTCGTATGAATTATAACATGGCAGCCAGTCTTTGTAATGTACTGTACAAAAGTCAGAGATCAGTAACAATTATATGAATTATAAACATGCGGTCGGTACGAGTTTGAATCAATATCCTGTATCACACAACATTGTCTAGTGTATGTGTATGCATCATAGAGGGTGTGAAGAAAGGAGTGACAGGGTAGGATATGGTGTAATTAAAGTCTACCTCATTTGTTCTTATTATACTTTCTTTAATTGACTGAAGAAGACTAATGGTATATATAAGTGTATGGAAAACAAGATTTGGGGAATGCCTAAGTGTGAGAAAGGTTGTAGCTATGTAATTTCAATATTTTATGGAAGTCTTGTGTTCAATTTATTTGTGTGTTGTGTTTTTGTTTACCTGATTGTATATGGATGACTCTGTTGACAGGTACATGTACGTGGGATAGGTGGTGCTTTTCATCCACTATCAATGTACTGAATGTCCCTGCCCTAAGGCTTGTCATATCTTAGTTTACCTTCCCAATGTCTTTGTACATATCAATAACACAGTCCAAGTCTTTTAGTATAAAATCATAAAATTTCCATTTTTCCATGTATGTGTAGATGTGTATTGTTTTGTAACCCTCTTCTAGAGAGTGTCATATTTTGGAGCAAGTCTCCCCTGATTTCCCCCCCCTCTATAAGTGACCTATCCTCTGTGTTGTGATATGTAACTGTGACCTAACTTAGCATATGCTGCAACGACCGAACATTGTCATATGTTTTGTAAATACACGTATTGGTCTTCCTCGTTAATGTAATAACCAAAGGTGGAAATATGAAACAGGAGGTGACATCTGTGCCGCCATCTGACAACCGAATCACGTGTAACACTGTACATATTCATACCTGACCTGTTGGGGATAATTGTTTGTCGATG